TAAGGGACAGCTGGAGCATCTCGGAGCGTGGCCATGTGAGCCCTGTGATGCAAATGAGTGTTCTCTTAAAAGCTGGACAAGACTGCCCTTGCTGAACCGTGACAGAAGCTCAGAGGTTAAAAGTGGTGGCCGCAGGGGTCCAGCTGAGGAGATGTGGGAAGGACAAAGCAACAGAGCTGCTGCTTTGGATGGATACAGGAGCAAGGGCAGGACCTACAAGGGGAAAGGTTTGGAAATTCTCAGCCTGGAGGAGGAGGAGTGAAGCGACCACAGGCTCGGGCTCGCGCACCTGTGAGGAGCACCTGGCAAGATGCCCAGAAGGCGCCTCACGGGCTTCTCAGAGACCCAGGCCACGAGGCTGAGAAGGGCAGAGCCTTCAGGGAACCCAGGGCTCTTTGCACACCGAAGGCTGAATCGGCAGGTTTGCCGGCATTTAGGGAGCTCCTGAGGCTGAGGCTCGTGCAGAAGGTGCACAGTAGAAATGGCTTCCACTGCTGCTGCTTATGCAGGGACTCAGAATGCAAGAGCTGTGGGGTCATGGCAGCTTCACCATGCTTTCAAAGGAAAACCTGCTATAAAAGTTAAAACAATAACACATCTAGAAGTCAGCACAGGGAAGAACTTTTGTGTTCTTGGGTTGAAGCAGAGTTGCAGAGGTGGTTTTTTTTTTTTTTTTTTTTTTTTTTTTTTACAGGCAGAGTTAGAGAGAGAGACAGAAAGAACAGTCTTCCTTTTCCTTTGGTTCACCCTGCAATGGCCGCTACGGCCAGTGCGGCCGGTGTGTTGGGGTCGGCCAATCCGAAGCCAGGAGCCAGGTGCTTCCTCCTGGTCTCCCATGCGGGTGAAGGGCCCAAGCACCTGGGCCATCCTCCACTGCACTCCTGGGCCACAGCAGAGAGCTGGACTGGAAGAGGAGCAACCAGGACAGAATCTGGTGCCCCAACCGGGACTAGAACCCGAGGTACCGGCACCACAGGTGGAGGATTAGGCTTGTGAGCCATGGCGCCGGCCTGAAGCAGAGTTTTCTTAGGAACACTGAAGAAAAAAATGACAGATGACTGTAATCAAAACTAAATATTTAGCTCAAAAAACACTTAAGGAAGCGCAAGGGCTGGACACAGATGGGGAGAGGTTTGCCGCAGGATGAAAGCCCTACAGGGAGCCCCTCACGGGGTGATGCTTGCCGGAGCCCTGGGAGGGAAGCCACAGTGGAGTCTCAGGGAGGCAGAGAAATCAGTGGCAGGCAGTGCCTGTGGGGGTGAGCTGTGAACAGGCTGTACAGCTTTGAAACCTACTGACATCCGTGTGCAGCCTGTGAAAGTGGCCGTGGGGCGGCACCACTGCAGACTCCAGAACTGTAGAGCCGCCCCGTGCAGTGCCAGCCTGGAGAGCGGCAACCTCAGGCTCCAACCTGTGATCCCTGAAACATGGGCCACGCCCAGCAGAGCTGTAGGGTTAGGGCTGCCCTAACACGTTGTGCCCAGATGTGCACAAGACACTGGATTTGCAGCTTGAGGATGTAACACTTGCTGTACTGATTTTTGGTCTTGCTTTGGGCCAATACCTACTTCCTATTTCCCTTTTAGAATGGAAGGCACACCTGTGCCTGTCCTGCAATTGTGTCTCAGGAGCAGGTGACTGGTTTTGATTGAACAGGGGCTCACAGCCATGAGAGTTTGGGGTCTCAGAAGCTCAAAATCAGAAACTTCAGAATTTGGGCTTTTTTTTTAAAAAAAAAGATTTATTTATTTTGAAAGAGTCATGGGGGTATGATGGGGGAAGAAAGGAGATATCTTCCATCTGTGTGTTCACCCCCAAGATGGCCCCAATGGCCAGAGCTGGTCTAGGTTGAATCCAGGAGCCAGGAGTGTCATCTGGGTCTCCCACATGAATGACAGGAACCAAAACTCTTTGGCCATCTTTTGCTGTCTTTCTCAGGCCATTAGCAGGGAGCTGGGTTGGAAGTGGAGCAGCTGAGACACTAAATGGCACCCATGTGGGATGCTGGTGTAGCAGGCAGCTTTACCCACTAATCCACAACGCCAGCTCCTAGACTATTGAATCATTGATGGGCTGAATGAAGAGTTGCAATTGTTGGGGATTGGATAAGTGTATTTTTTGTAGGAAAAGCACACAGGTTTCAGGGGGCTGGAGGCAGAATACCATGGTTTGAATACAGTCATCCTCTAAGTGTTATGTTAACAGAACCAAGAAGGTTGTGGCTGAATCCAGTTGTGTTGAGAGCTGGGCCTTGGAGAAGAGGTCAGGCCAGATTAGCTCATGAGGGTAGGACCCCTGTGGTTAGATCCACCAGGATCCTGCCTGCCTCAGGTTTTCAGTAGAGCATCAAAAGCTGACTAGCTCAGAGTCTGTGTGCTAAAAATGACAAACATCGCCACAGAGATGAAAGAAATCCTAAATGACTGGAGAGAGGTATCTGGATTTTGCTAGATCAGTTCTTTACAAATGAATCGAAACATTTCATGTAATCCCAATAAAAATCCCAGGAAGTTGGGGCTGGCGTTGGGCAGCAGATTAAGCTGCCCCCTGTGATGCCAGCATCCCATGCGAGTGCTGGTTCTGAGTCCTGGCTGCTCTGCTTCCGATCCAGCTCCTGCTAATGTGCCTGGAAGAGGGCAGAGGATGGCCTGAGTGCTTGAGTCCCTGCCACCCACTTGAGGGACCTGGGTGGAGATCTAGGCGCCTGGCTTTGGCCTGGTCCAGCCTTGGCTGTTGTTGCCACTTGGAGAGTGAACCAGTGGGTGAAACACCTTCTCCCTCTCCTCTCCCTCCCCCTCCCCTTCCCCCTCCCCCTCTCCCTCCCCCTCTCACCCTCTCTTTCCCTCTCCCCCTTCCCCTCCCCCTCTCCCCCTTCCCCTTTCCCTCCCTCCCCCTCCCCCTCTCCCTCTCCTCTCTCCCTCTCTCTCCCTCTCCCTCCCTCCCCCTCCCCCTCTCCCTCTCCTCACTGTAACTCTGCCTTTCAAAAAAAAATATACCTTAAAAAAATCCCAGTGGGCCTTTCTGTAGAGATTACTGGCTGATTCTAGAATCTTGTGGAAGTAGCCAGCCAGTTATGAAGAAGGAAAGCAGAGTTGGAGAACTTCTATCACTTGATGTCAAGACTGCTTTTAAGGCCACGTTGATGGACATGGGGTCTCAGCAGCTGCTCACAGCCACTTAATCAGCCGTGGACACTCTTCCCAACAAATGATGTGGGATCTCTCACAGCAAACTCAAAAACTAACTGGAAAGACATTCTAGAACTAGACATAGAAACCATGAAGCATCTTGAAATCAGCCCAGGGGAGAACTTGTGCAGTCTTGAAGCAAGACTTCTCAAATGGGAGCCTTGAAGGAAAAATGGTGAATTGGATGTCATCAAAATTAACTGCTTAGCTCAAAGACACACTGTGGTGAAATGAGGAGGCTGGAAACACCTGCAGTGCATACATGACAAACCGGTGTTCAGCATCTGTAATGACACTCACAACTCCAGACAGACAACCTGATCCAAGACGGGCAGGCTACATGGCTGGTGCAGACAGGTGGCACACGAGCACAGAACAGAGCTCCATGGAGTCGTCAGAGGAATGTGGACTCCACCCCCCTCTAGGGCAGCTCAGTGAAACACTGAGGGTGACAGGTGCTGCTGGGGAGCGGCAGGGCACGCAGTGCAGAAGGGGAGTAGAGTTCCACGTGCGCTGATCACAGGGTCTGGCCGTGGCATTGAAGAGGACTGGAAACATTGGCTTATGCATCTGTCATCACCGAAGCCCAGAGACAGCCCAGGGCGCTGCAGGTGCACAGACCGGGGACGTCTGTCCCTGCAAAGGGAACTGCTGATATTCACGTGAGAGAGCAGACAGCTAGATGACCACAGACACACCGCACGGCTCCTTCACACTAGGACTCCAAAATGGTGCAGGTCGGGGGCTTGGAGCATGAGCCCGGGCTGTTTACTGGACAAGGATGCAGGAGCTGTCATTGTGCGGGAAGGTTGTGCACTGACTGAGGGGAGGCTACCGATGGAGACCACTAGCAAACTTAGCAAACTGTACAGTTGTGATGAGACAATTTAACTGTATGTAACCTTACTAATGCTGACTCTAAACATATCGGTTGGTGAAAACTTGGTAGGTTATGGCTCAGACTGTAGGCCTGTAGGGGAGGGGCTGTGACCCTCATGGGGCTGCAAGGCTCCTTCTGTGGGTTCTGGCCATGGACATGGGCCCATGGAGGGAGCAGAGCCCAGGCTGTGCAGTGGTCAGGGGAGAGCTGGAGGTTGTCTACTTACAGGCAACGGATGGGGTGCCTTTACGGCCATGGTTCATCCCCTGCCCCGGGTTGTCATCCTCCCAGGAAATTGCTCCGGTTCTGGCTGGGGGCTGGTCCAGGGCCCTCCTGAGTTCCCTCCAGAAGCATCCACCACCAGAACAGGCTGCTGTCCTCAGCTGGCTCCGCTGCAGTGGGGCTTGACACAGCCCTGCCACTGTGCTGCCGTGTCTCTGACACCCCCTGCAGGACCTGAGGCTCCCAGGGGGCCTGGGCAGTGCCCGGCTGTGGGGTCCTGCACATCCTTCTACTCGAGAGTTTTTCTGTCCCCAACCAGGTCATCTCTGTTCGCTGGGCCTGGAGCAGCTCCTCTCCGCAGAAATCACATTTCTACTAAACAGAGACCTTGAACAGGCGGGAAAGACAGGAATCCCCAGAGGGCTGTGGTCCTTGCAGCCTCAGGCAGCCACTGAGGGCGACATGGCAGGACGAGCTGCCTATGCAGTGGGTGGGGAAAGTCCTCGGGGCCTGCAGTACCCCCAGACCAACACGCGACTATGGTGGCAGCCTCCGGAAGCCTTGGCATGGCCAGGGTCCAGCTGGGTCCCTCCCAGAGGGGTGAGCCACGTCCCTGTGATCCCCAGGTTGAGTCATTTCCCCCTGGAAACACTCGCAGCAAAAGTGAACAACTGCTCCCCTCCTCCCCCCTATGAACAACAGGAGAGGAGTCAGGTGCTCAGGGCAGTTTATTGGGGGCCCCGTGAGATGCTGACAGCTGAGGTTGGGCCACGTGACCCAGAGCAGATCCTGGGGGCACGAGGGAGGTCAGTCAGCAAGGTGGACACACAGGGACCCGACCTGGATCAGGACCAGACCGGGGATGAATGGGAGGTGCAGGGTAATGCGGAGGGCCCAGAGGAGCATGCCAGTCAGCAGCAGGACTGTCCCGAGGAGAGGCCGCAGCAGGCGGGGCGGGAGCAGGCGGGGCGGCAGAGCAGGGATACGCAGGAGGCCGGGCGGCAGCAGCTGGGCTGGCAGGAGGGGGCGGGCACGCAGCAGGCGGGCCTGCACACGGGGCGGCAGAGCAGGGACACGCAGGAGGAGGGTCTGCAGCAGGACGAGGGGCAGGGGCTGGGCTGGCAGCACGAGGGGCGTGGGCAGATGGGCACACAGCTCAGGGGCCTGCAGCAGAGGGTCACACGGCTGGGCTGCTGGCAGGGGGAGGGGCTGCAGGATGGCTGGCAGCAGGGGGAGGAGTCCCCAGAGCAGACGGGCACACAGCTCAGGGGCTTGCAGCAGAGGGTCACATAGCTGGGCTGCTGGCAGGGGTTGGAGGAGCAGCACGAGGGCTGGCAGCTAGACTGCTGGCAGCAGGAGGAAGGGGTCCCAGAGCAGACGGGCACACAGGAGATGGACACACAGCTCACGGGTTTGCAGCAGAGGGTCACATAGCTGGGCTGCTGGCAAGGGTTGGAGGAGCAGCACGAGGGCTGGCAGCTAGACTGCTGGCAGCACAGGGGCGTGCAGGAGCTGGTGCACGCTGACTGGCAGCTCCCTGGGGTGCAGACGAGGGTCACGGAGGGGGCTGGGGCGCAGCAGCTGGGGGCGCAGCAGGGGGGCTCGCAGCAGCTCTCTGGGCAGTCGTCCACCTGCCAGGAGTCGGGGCAGGGGTCACAGGAGCCGGGCATGCAGACGTTGCTGCCGTAGCTCAGGTTGCTGGAGCAGACGGACATGGTGGAGGCGGCCGTGGCGGGCGGTGAGCTGACGGGTGAGTGGAGGGAGTGAGTGTGAGGTACCCAGGGCTGTTGGGCTTTTATATCCCTCCGTGGTTCCTGCTGTCCTAATGAGAGACTCGGCAACCTCCCCTTCCTTGTTTGTGTTGGAAGCTGAAGCAGATTTGTTGTTGCCTGTGCCATGTGCAGTGCGTGGGGCATTGCTCAGCTTGTAAAAGTCCCAAGTGTACCTGGAGTCTGTTACCCCCCACCAGCTACTCTTGCTCATGGCTGGAAGTGTTGTGGGAGGCAGGGTTCATCCTGCAGGTAGGGCTCCTGGGGGCCATGCTGGTGGTATGAGGAATGCTCCCATCCTAATCTCCACCATACACCTGCGCTGGTTCCTGCACACCCGTGGTGACCCCACGTGTCAGTCACCACAGCTCCCTGAGGGCCAGGCTGGAGAAGCCCTGGCCAGTGAGGGGTCGAGAGTGGTCGCTTTGGCAGTGACCCCCGCGCGCTCTCTGCACGGGTCGGGGTGAGCAGTGGTGGGCAGTGTTCTCCTTGTCTTCCTTGTGAGCACTGAGGGTAGCCCAGGACGCCCATGGTCTGTCCATGGCCATCCCATCTCCACCTGCTCTAACTCTGGAGCCTGCAGAGCTGGGAGCTGCACTGGAGCTGTGCATGCACCTCCAGCCCTCCCCACCCCCACCCCCACCAACGCTCTGCTCTCGGCTTGGTTGTGGGCTGAAAGGCCCTGCCCCAGCCACAACCCTGAGAGCCACTGAGTCTCCCTCTCCTCTCAGTGATGTCCACTGCCCACCAAGTCCTCTAGCGCTTCCTGCTGGGAACACCAAGGCCCTTTCACTTCCTGAGTACCCACCAGCCCCACACCCCACATATGAGCAGCCACATGAGGGACGGAGGGCGACAGACACGCACTGTCCACACTGCGGGGGCGGGGGCAGGGCCGACTGCTGTGGCCCAGGGATGTCAGTGACCACAGGGCAGCCCAGCCTGCACCAGCCCAAAGGAGTGGCACCTGAGCAGGTGGAAGGGCTCGGAGCCCTCCCTGTGGGCCTACAGCCCCTGGGCAGGTCTCAGGTTCCACTGCCCCTTCCTAGGCTGCTGTGTCTCCAGCAGAATTCTCCTTCCAGGCCGACAGTTCCTGGGGGCTTCGAAAGGGATGCAGGGGTGCGGTCAACTCAAGTGCGCCATGGGCTGGTTGTCTATGTGAGGGATTATGGACATAGTGCAAATTCAGTCCTGGCCTGTGCCTTCCAGTGGCACCAGAACTGACCACTGGACACAGGACTGAAAGTGAGGGCAGGGCATGGGGGACCGCTGAGTCGGATGGAAACTCCTGCTGAGAACACGTGAAAAGTGAAGTTTAAAAAGCATCCCTTAAAGGCGTTTGAGGGCCACTGGTGAAACAGGGTGGACAGGCTAAAGCCCCGGATGCAGCTCAGGTCACAGCAGGAATTTCGGTGCGGGGTGGGGGTGGGAAGTGGGGCAGAGGGCTGCAGAAGAGGCTCTGGTGCCCTGGCAGGGTGGGAGAGGCAGCACGGGTTCTGGAGGACCAAGTCCTGAGCGCAGCTTGATGATGGGGGGCAGGGCCTCGGGTTTTGTCACGTGCTTATGCTGGAAAGCACAAGAAAGCCGCTGAAATGCCAGAGTTTTGGCCATCTCATCACTCCGAGGACAAACCATGGCATCCAGCCTAGCCAAGGAGTCACTGGCACCTGGAGAACTGGGTCTCAGACCCCAGAGGGAAGATGCAGAGCAGAGCTCAAGTCCGTAGGGTCCTCAGTCCCCCGCAGGTCGACCACCAGAGAACGAGGCCAGACTCTGCCAGGGAGGAGAAACCCAGCCAAAGAGGCGAGAGTTCTCCCACACAAGGTCAGACTCGGTCATCACAGCCATGCCAAGGGACAGAACGGACGACACAGGCAGACCCAGAGGTGTCACCAGCCACAGGCTTGAAATCTCTGCTGGGAAACTCTATCCTGAGGCGGATATTCACGTAAAAAGAAACATCTAGAAATTCTCCAACTGAAAATACCTGTAATGATTGTATCTCTGACCCAGCAGATGGGTTTGACGGAAGGATGGTGGGTGAGGGGATCACTGCCCAGAAACACGAAACGCCCGGGGAGAGAAGGAGAGTTGCCCGGGGGGAAGTTACACGATGTGGGGGACACGATTAAATGAACGTGGCGGAGAAGGCGGCGTCAGCCGTGCTGGGGCTGTGGAGGCTGTGGCCCAGATACACCCATGCACTCAGAAGAGCCCAAAGACCATGCCACTGCCCGACCCATGGCTTCCCTCTCCAAAACCGGGCTTGGCCCAGGCCTGCCTCTCAGTGCCTGAGGGGACCACGTGGGACAGTGCGGAGAAGATGCAGTCGGTGTTTATGACCTGGGCTGCGTCCCAGGAAGCAAACATCCCTGATGCGACAGGAGCCATTCTCACCACAAGGAAGGGGATGTGGCCTGGAAACAAGGATGGGCAGAAGGATAAAAGCCAGAGAGCCCTGAGCCCTCACACACTCACACCTCCACACACACTCACACTCACCCCTGCCCAGCTCACTGCCCGCCACAGCCACCTCCACCATGTCCGTCTGCTCCAGCAACCTGAGCTACGGCAGCAACGTCTGCATGCCCGGCTCCTGTGACCCCTGCCCCGACTCCTGGCAGGTGGACGACTGCCCAGAGAGCTGCTGCGAGCCCCCCTGCTGCGCCCCCAGCTGCTGCGCCCCAGCCCCCTCCGTGACCCTCGTCTGCGCCCCAGGGAGCTGCCAGTCAGCGTGCACCAGCTCCTGCACGCCCCTGTGCTGCCAGCAGTCTAGCTGCCAGCCCTCGTGCTGCTCCTCCAACCCCTGCCAGCAGCCCAGCTATGTGACCCTCTGCTGCAAACCCGTGAGCTGTGTGCCTGTCTCCTGTGTGCCCGTCTGCTCTGGGGACTCCTCCCCCTGCTGCCAGCCGTCCTGCAGCCCCTCCCCCTGCCAGCAGCCCAGCTGTGTGACCCTCTGCTGCAAGCCCGTGAGCTGTGTGCCCATCTCCTGTGTGTCCGTCTGCTCTGGGAGCTCCTCCCCCTGTTGCCAGCAGTCTAGCTGCCAGCCGTCCTGCTGCTCCTCCAACCCCTGCCAGCAGCCCAGCTATGTGACCCTCTGCTGCGAGCCCGTGAGCTGTGTGCCTGTCTCCTGTGTGCCCGTCTGCTCTGGGACCTCCTCCTCATGCTGCCAGCAGTCTAGCTGCCAGCCATCCTGCTGCTCCTCCCCCTGCCAGCAGCCCAGCTGTGTGACCCTCTGCTGCAAGCCCGTGAGCTGTATGCCCGTCTCCTGTGTGCCCGTCTGCTCTGGGGACTCCTCCCCCTGCTGCCAGCCGTCCTGCAGCCCCTCCCCCTGCCAGCAGCCCAGCCGTGTGACCCTCTGCTGCAAGCCCCTGAGCTGTGTGCCCGTCTGCCCACGCCCCTCGTGCTGCCAGCCCAGCCCCTGCCCCTCGTCCTGCTGCAGACCCTCCTCCTGCGTGTCCCTGCTCTGCCGCCCCGTGTGCAGGCCCGCCTGCTGCGTGCCCGCCCCCTCCTGCCAGCCCAGCTGCTGCCGCCCGGCCTCCTGTGTGTCCCTGCTCTGCCGCCCCGCCTACTCCCGCCCTGCCTGCTGCGGCCTCTCCTTGGGACAGAAGTCCTGCTGCTGAGTGGCCTCATTGAGGTCACTGGGCGCCCTGTCCTCTGCTGCCCTGTGTTGGCTACCAGTAGCCACACCAGCCGCAGTGCCCTTCCCTGAGCCCCTGTAAAGGGCCCTGGTACCTGCTGCCCACCTGTGTCTCTTCTGTGGGAGCAAGCCCCTATGTCCTCAAGAACTGACTTTCCTCCAATCAGCAAGCCCTGCCCCCAGCCATGGGTGTGCAGTGACCCCAGCCTGGGGAGAAGACAGGCTGACTAGCTGCTGACGACTGTCACCCTTCAGCCTGTGGTAGGATCCCTGTGCCAGGATCCAGGGTGCCCTGGACTCCTCTCCTGGGTCAGAGCCTCTGGCTCCACTTCCCCTCAATGTGGGGTTCTCTGAATTCTCCCAATAAATCCCTTTGCCTGACTACTTCAGCCGTTTTCACTCTGTCATTCCATACCCATGGCACTCCCAAGTGCCGCCATGTCTCTCTCTGCCTCTCTGACCTTGCCCATGTCCAGAAGACAGACTTACGCCTAGGGACCCAGAGCCTGAGTCTGGGAGAGGGACCAGGGACCGTGTTTCAGGAGTGACTTCCCCTAAACCCAGTGGTTTCCAATTCCTTGGCCAGGGTCTGGGAACTTGGACTTGGGGAGAGCTTCCCCCACCTGCCTCTCTGGGCCTGCTGAGTACCACACCTGCTTCCCTATGGCCCAGGCAGAAGGCGGCCTTGTGCCCAGCCCCCAGTGACCACCCCAGACTCGGGTCTCTAATGAGCTCTCTGCTGGATGACATCTACACCAGTCCACCTGGCTCCTTGCTGGGGCAGTCAGGTACACTCTGTGCTACCTCTCCCCGCCCAGAGGACTGTGGAGCCTGCTGCTGGCTTCCCCAGGGTTCTCCATCTCTGCCGTTCCCTTGGAAACCACTGTGTTCTCACCCAAAAATGATCACAGCCACCATGTGACTGTGGGCCTAGTCCTGTGGGCCCACCCAGCAGCTCACCGAATGGGGGTGGTCCTGGGGACCTCAGCGTAGCCCTGGCTGCCTTCCTCCAGCGAGGATTATGGTGTCCCAGCACAGAGCTGCACTGGTTGCTCTTCCTTTGACTTGCTCAGGAGAGGGTAGAGGCAGATGGGGAGCTGGGCTGGGGCCTGGGCACCTGGGCCTCACAGAGGCGTCCAGTGCTGAGACAAGCTGCCTCTGCTCCAGGTATCCTCAGAGCTGTGGCCTCAAGTCCTGGCATTGAGCTGAAGCACATGGCGGGCAGGGAATAGGCCCCCACCCCTGCCCAGGTCATCTGCCCATGCAGAGGGAGTGAGCCAGGCTTCTCTCTGGGGACCAGGATGTGAGCTCCTGTCTGCCTCTCCAGGGAGACTCTGGGAGCACGCAGGCTGCCCAGCACCCCAGTACCACAGACAGCAAAACAGATGGGAGCCAGACTGGCTTCCTTTGGGGATGCAAGAAGACCATGAGAACTGGTCAACAAATTCAGTAAAATTGCAGGTTATAAAGTCAGCATACAAAAGTTAGCAGGGGGCAGGCATTGTGGCACAGCAAGTTTAGTTGCTGCATGGGGCAGCTGCATCCTATGTAGGGTACCTGGCTTGAATCCTGCCTCAGGTTTTGACCCAGCTTCTGTATAATGCACACCCTGGGAGGCAGCACATGATGGTTCAAGTACTTGCCACCCCGATGGTAGACCTGCAGGGAGTCTGGCTCCTGGTTTTGGCCTGGCCTAGACCTGGCTGTTGTGGGCATTTGTGGAATGCCCACTGGATAGAAGGTCTCTCTGCCCCCCCTTCCCTCTCAAATAAAAAATAAACATTTCTATATATTAACAATAAACTGTCCAAAAAACAAATTAATATAATAGCAGGAAAAAGGCCTGAGGGGATTTAAATAAGTTGGTAAAAGATCCATATACTGAAAAATATAAAACACTGATGAAAGAAATTGAAGACACAAATAAATGGAAAGATATACCATGTTCATGGATTGGAATAAATAATATTGTTAAGATTTCCATACTGGGACCAGCGTTGTGGCGTAGGTGGTTACCCTGGGATGCTGGCATCCCACAGGGGCACTGGGCACTGGGCACTGGTTTGTGTCCCAGTTGCTCTGCTTCCAGTCCAGCTCCCTGCTAATGCAGCTGTGAAAGTTGACCCAGATACATGGGCCCCTGTCACTTATGTGAGGGCCCCAGACGAGCGCCTGGGTTCTGGTTTCAGCCTGGCCCAGCCCCAGCCATTGCAGCCATCTGAGGAGTAAACCAGTGGATGGAAGAAGATATCTTTCTGTCCCTCTTTCTGTCTTTCTCTGACCACGATTTTCAAATCAATACATCTTCAATTAAAAAAATGTAAAATGTCCATGCTAGCCAAAACAATCTACGTATTTAAAATAACAGTTGATTCATTGTAATTTTCTATATTTTGAAAAACACCAAAATTCATGTAAAATTGCAAAAGGGCTCAAAGAGCCAAAGCAATCTTTAGCAGAAAGAACAAAAGGCATCACACTCTCTGGTTTCAAAATATATTATAAACCGATTATAATCAAAACAGCAGGGTATTGCCATAAAAGTGGGCACATTGAACACAGAAGAGAATAGAAAGCTATGCTATCGTTGATTTTTGACAAAGATTCCAAGAAGACATAAGGGATAGAACAGACTCTCCAATAACCTTTCTTGGGGAAATTGGACATTCACATGAAGAAGAATGAAATTGGGCCCTTTTGTCACATGATAAGCAAAATTCAACTCAAAATGTATTAAAGATTCCAATGTAAGGACTGAAAGTGTGAAACGTGGAGAGAACATGGGGGAATGTTTTCTCAGACTGGACTACAGATACAAGACAATGAAAACAGAACAGGTGGATGGGCATCCACCCAGTGTAGAATTTTCTGCAGAGTTAAGAAAACAATCAACAATCTATACGTTGTGAGAAAATATTGGCAAACCATAAATCTATTCAAGCAATAACACTCATAAATGAGGAACTGAACCAACCAAGCAGCTAAAGAAAACAAGAACTCAATTTAAAAATGAGTAACAAAGACCTGAACAAACATTTCCCAACGTACACACCCAGTGGCCAACAGAGCCATGAGAAGTGCTCAGTATCTGTGATCATCAGACAAAGGCAAGGGAAAGCCACCGGGAGGAATTCCCCCAGCCCTGCTGGAACAGCTGTCATTAGAAAGAGATGAATGCTGACAAGTGCTGGCGAGGAAGGGGGGCACAGTGGACCCTGCTCAGTGCTGCAGGAGAGGACGTCGGCACGGCCACCATGGGGACAGCGTGGCGGCTCCTCGGAGAACTGGAGATAGAGCCACCCGTGGCCCCCAAGGCCGTGCTGGGACACTTGGAGGCACTGAAAGTGCGTGCCTGCCCACGTCACACAGCCAGCCACAGTGTCCATCAAGCACGAGTGGATGAAGATGAAGCGTTCTGCCTGCACAGCAGAATACTAGCACAGAGAAATGGCTTCTCGCTGTGGCTGCGTTGCGTTAAATGGAAGAGCCAGGCACAGAACCACCAGCACGCCTGACCTCACCGTGGGCCCTGAGAGGCTGTGCTCGTGCAGGCATGCAGGCAAGGGCTCAGCGCCAGCCGACACCAGGGTGGGCATGCCGGGCCAGAGCACATGCCAGGTGGGACCAGGGGACCAGAGGGGACGCGCTGCACTGCAGGTGGCCTCAGTCACTTCTGCTTACCTCTGTCTTAGAATTCCCAAAAGAATAGATTTTTTTTAACATTTTCACTACCAAAACTTTGACAAGGTGTTAAGGTGATAGATATGTTAATTAGCTGGATCTTCCTGCAATGTATACATGGATCAGAACCTCACAATGTACCCCACAGACGTGCACAATTACTAACTGTCAATATAAAAAATAAATAAACTTTAAGAACTTGACAAAATTCAATTAAATAATAAAGGTCTTAAAGAATACGTAGGAGATATTTTCATGAGATTGTGGTAGGCAGGCTTTGGAAGCAAAAGTAAAACGCACTAAACTTAGAAAACTAACAAACCTGATGTCATTAAAATTAAAAGCATCTTAATTTTTTTATTTATTTATTTTATTTATTTTTTTATTTTTTGACAGGCAGAGTGGACAGTGGAGAGAGAGAGACAGAGATAAAGGTCTTCCTTTGCCGTTGGTTCACCCTCCAATGGCCGCTGCGGCCGGCGCGCTGCGGCGGGTGCACCGCGCTGATCCGATGGCAGGAGCCAGGTGCTTCTCCTGGTCTCCCATGGGGTGCAGGGCCCAAGCACTTGGGCCATCCTCCACTGCACTCCCTGGCCACAGCAGAGAGCTGGCCTGGAAGAGGGGCAACCGGGACAGAATCCGGCACCCCGACCGGGACTAGAACCTGGGGTGCCGGCGCCGCAAGGCGGAGGATTAGCCTAGTGAGCCGTAGCACTGGCAAAAGCATCTTAATTTTAATTCATCCATCTTTTTTTTTTTTTTTTTTTTTTGACAGGCAGAGTGGACAGTGAGAGAGACAGAGAGAGAAAGGTCTTCCTTTGCCGCTGGTTCACCCTCCAATGGCCGCCGCTGCAGCCGGCGCACCGCGCTGATCCTGGCAGGAGCCAGGAGCCAGGTGCTTTTCCTGGTCTCCCATGGGGTGCAGGGCCCAAGCACCTGGGCCATCCTCCACTGCACTCCCTGGCCACAGCAGAGAGCTGGCCTGGAAGAGGGGCAACCGGGACAGAATCCGGCGCCCCAACCGGGACTAGAACCCGGTGTGCCGGCGCCGCAAGGTGGAGGATTAGCCTATTGAGCCACGGCGCCGGCTATTTTAATTCATCCATCTTAATTCACCCAAAGACACTGTGACTACCACAAAATAAGTTGGTAAAAATCCATATACTGAAAAACATAAAACACTGGGGAAAGAAATTGAAGAAGACACAAATAAATGGAAACATATCCCGTGTTCTTGGATTGGAACAATTAATATTGTTAAAATTTCCATTATATTTCGTAACATGTCTGTTACGGTGACACTAGCCAGGGCAGGCGGGTGTGAGCACAGAACCACTCACAGGTTGCGCGGGTCTAGTGTCACATGGTGCAACCTCCTCATTTATTTGAAAGGCAGAGTGAGAGAGCGTGAGAGAGAGAGTGCGAGAATGAGCCTGCGTCTGTCAGTGACTGGAAGGACCGGCACACTGGCCGTGGGCTCACAGTGGAGTCGCTCAGCCTGGGCAGACGGTGGAGACACACAGCCGTGTGTGGCCGTGCAAGGGGAGGCCAGCCTGGAGGCGGGTGCACGAGCGCATCTGGCTGTCACAGCGACACAGGGACAGCCTGTTCCTGGACTGACAGTGGAAGGGACACGTGGGGGTGTTGGGGTGCTGGAGCTGTCCCAAATCTCACAGGACACAGGTGTGCATGGGACACGGGAG